AGCTTCCCTTCACCAGTTTATTACCTGCTATCATGATGTAACTAGAAATTATCGGATGACATCTGTATCTTCTCTGTCTCTCTGTCTCTCTCTCTCTTAGAATTTTATGGTATAATGACAGCAATAACCAGCCTAGAACATAACGCGTTTCCACCTGAGATCCACCTGACTAAAGACAACAAAATTTAACCCATTGAATTCCATTTTAAAGTCTGCAAATATTTTAAAAATATTTTTAGTTGTAGTTGTACACAATACCTTTATCTTACTTATTTATATTTATGTGGTGCTGAAGATCAAACCCAGGCACTAGGAGAGCCCTCTACCGCTGAGCCACAACCCCAGCCCCTAAATTCTGCAAATATTTTAATGAAATTGACACACGTATTAAAAAAGTTGGAGGGCTGGGGTTATGGCTCAGCAGTAGCACACTTACCTGGCATGTGTGAGGCACTGGGTTCGATTCTCAGCACCACGTGTTAATAAATAAAATAAAGGTCTATCAACAACTAAAAATATATATAAAAAGTAAAAGGTTGGAAATGATAATCTTGAATTTATATATATATCAATTAATATAGCTATTATAATTATATCCTTGTTATTATGTAATTACATATTACACACTATATTTAAGTTTTTAAAATTTTTTTGGTTGTAGATGGACACAATACTTTTATTTATTTTTATGTGGTGCTGAGGATCGAACCCAGTGCCTCACATGCTAGGCAAGCGCTCTACCACTGAGCCACAATTGCAGCCCCTATATTTAAGTTTTTATAGGTATTCTACATCTGGGATGATAGGACAAAATGGTTTAATATTTTAAGAGTCAGCAGGTACTTTAACCCTTGGGATAATGTGTTTCCTTATTGAGAAACAACACAACAACCAAAGGACATTATAGGGGCAGTGGTAAAATGCTTTTTGAGGGCCTGGGTTCTTTTCCCAGTACTGTAAAAAGAAAGCATACCTGTAATCCCAGCAGGTTGGGAGGTTTCAGCATGAGCATTACAAGATCAAGGCTAGCCTCAGCAATTTAGCAGGGCCCTAAGCCAATTTAATGAGACTCTGTCTCAAAACATTAAAAGGGATGGGGATGTGACTTAGTGGTTAAGTGCATCTGGGTTCAATCTCTGGTACCAAAAAAAAAAAAAAAAAAAAGAAAGAAAAAGAAAAAAGGAGACAATTATGGGAAATCACAATGTTGTGGAAAAGTACAATAAACAAACTATGCCAGGTGTGGTGGTACACACCTGGAATCCCAGCAACTCCGGTGGAGGCAGGAGGATTGCAAGTTTGAGGCCAGCCTGGACAAATAAATAAATAAACAAATAAACACTGGGGTTGTAACTCAGTGATAGAGTGCCCCCAGGTTCAATCGGCAGTACCACCATAACAAAAATAACTTTATATAGGCCTAAGCTGCAGAAAGCAAGATGCCCTCATATTATTGGTCAAAGTTAAATTTAGGGGCTGGGCTTGTGGCTCACAGGTAGAGCACTTGACTGCCACGTGTGAGGCACTGGGTTTGATCCTCAGCACCACATAAAAATACAATAAAGATATTGTGTCCACCTATATAACTAAAAAAAATATTTTTTTTAAAAAAATGCTAAATTTGGCACCTGTGGTTATTCATGCAGCATTAAAATAAACCAGCATTGTGGGAAGCCATGGCGAATGACCACCCACCCCAGGCTCTGACCAACCACTGCATTGGTTGTGGCTTGGGCAGAGACCTTCTGGAGGTCTTCTTTGTGGGCATAACCCTAGGGTTGAGTTACACTCATCTGTTCCCTTGTAGTCCTACCCCTTCTGCCCTTTTATGGATAGAACTTTCTAAGAAGTGTCCCCCCAATTAAAGCCCACTTCCGAACGTGCTCCCTCTCTCTCATCAGCCTCTCCTGACTTTCTCTTGCTTTCCCTTTGGGGAGCCGGAGAAGCTGTCCTGAAGTTTGTGTAAAGGTAAATTGTGTCTGTGTTCTATTTTGTGTCCCTGCAAATTCACACAAGTCATCTTAGTTTAGCTGCCCACGCTGGTCAGGGGCGGCACAGCATGGTGACACAGCACCAAACAAGCCATGCCAGGGGTGGAGCATATTATTCCATCCTTTGTTTCAAAACATCTTTTTCATATCATCTCTGATTTCTCTTGTCTCACAATTTGATTTCTTTTTCTATTTCACTAACACACTATTCAGTCAGCCTGTTGTTTGAGCAGTTTATTGTGTTTATGTATTATGTATTTATTTCTACTCTAAAATTTCTATTTGTTTACTCCTCTCTTGCCCCCAAGCTGGAGTTTGAAACCAGGAGCCTCCCTTATGCTAAAAACATGCTCTATCAAGGAGTTACACCCTTAGTCATTTTAATTTTTTTTCCAAATCTATCCACTTTCTTTACAATGAACAATGTTCTGTTCATGCAAGTGGATTGAGTTCTTTCCTTTATCTATTGGAAACAGCCTTTCTATTGTATGCTGTTCTGAGTTTCTGTTATAAAGTCACCTGTTATTGTACCTGCTGGCTGGTTCCCACAGTATTGGACTTCCCTGCCCATCCCCACCACCATCACCACCACCTCCACCAGTGGGGATTGAACGCAGAAGCACTTAACCACTGAGTCACATCATGAGATTTTTTTTTTTTTTTTTTTTTTTAATTCTGAGACAGGGTCTCACTAAATTTTTCGAGTTTGGCCTCAAACTTGCAATACTTCTGCCTCAGCCTCTGGAGTAGCTGGGATTATGGGTGTGCACCCCCATACCAGGCTACCTATGAATTTTGTTGTTTATTAAGTATTGGGGATTGAATCCAGGAGTACTCTAACACCGCATTTCCAGCCTTTTTCATTTATTTTAAAACTTGAGATTGAGTCTTCCTAAACTGCAGAGATGAGCCTCAAACTAGATATCCTGCTGCCTTAGCCTCCTGAGTAGCTTGGATTACAGGAGAGGGCCACTGCACCTGGCTTTTTTTTTTTTTTTTTAAAGTTGTGGATGGATACAATATCTTTATTTTTATGTAGTGCTGAGGATCAAATCAGGGCCTCACCCCTGGGAGGCAAGAGCTCTACCACTGAGCTACAACCCCATACTGTGGCTTTTGTTTCTTATTATGGCTCATCTTCAGAGTAGTTGTCCTCCAAGAGAGCAACACCATATGTGAGCTCCCTCTGGAGGTGTCCCTGTGGGTGGTTGGGTGGTTTAGCTTTGCTCTTGCTCTGCCCTTTGGGAATCACAGTGCCAAATGAGGTTTTTAAGGTATTAAAAAGTAAACAATATACTCCCATTTAGCTGGGTACAGTGGCACATACCTGAAATCCTAGCTACTTTTGAGGCTGAGGTAGGAGGATCCTGAGTTCAAGGCCAGCCTGTTCAATTTAGAGTCCCAAAATAGAAAAAAGACTAAGACTGCAGCTCAGTGATAGGCACCCTTGGGTTCAACTCCCAGTACCATGTTAAAAAAAGACAATGCAGGGGATATAGCTCAGAAGCAGAACATCTCTAGTTTAAATCCCTAGTATCAGCTGGGCAAGGTTACTAAATCCCAGAGACTCAGACTGAGGCAGAAAGACTGCAAGTTCAAGGCCAGCCTCAGAAACTTTGTAAGACTCTTGTCTCAAAATAAAAAGGGGTGGGGATGTGGTTCTGGGTTCAATCCCCAGTGCAACAAAATACTAAATGTATAAAAATAAAAGGGCTGAGGAAAGCCAAGTGTATACCCTCATAATCCCAGCAACTCAAGGCTTAAGCAGGAGGATTTCAGGTTCAAAGCCAGCCTCAACAATCTATCAAGGGAAACAACAAAAAACTTAGCAAGGACCAACATAAAAAGGATAATGGCAAGGGATGTGGATCAGTGGTTAAAGGTTCCTGGGTTAAATCCACAGCATCCCCACCCCCACACTAATAAAAGGCCAAGGATTAGAGATGGTAAGTGAGGTACCAACTGTTCAATTTGAAGAAACAATTTCTGATCATAGCAATATAGGGTTTGCTATGTGGTAGGCATTTTTTTTAAGATTTTAGGTAGTGCTGGGGATTGAACCTAGGGCAAGCACTCTACCAACTGAGCTATATCCCCAGCCCTAGGCACTTTTTTTTTTTTTAAACAATGTACATCTTTCAATTTGAGGGCATAAGTGTCCAAGGTGATTCTATAATCTTTTTGTGGTAGTGGGAATGGAACCCAGGGGCATTCTATCATTGAGTGAGCCCTTTTGGAGACAGGGTCTCATTTGCTTAGACTGACCTGTAACTTTTCGATCTAGTCACTGGTTGTTAGGCATGTGCCAAACCCAGCTCAATGTCTTATTCTTTTTTTTTTAATCTTTTTTTTTTAAGAGACAGAACTTTTAATATTTATTTTTTAGTTTTTGGCAGACACAACATCTTTGTATGTGGTGCTGAGGATCGAACCCGGGCCCCACGCATGCCAGGCGAGCGCGTGTCTTATTCTTATGCAGTACAAGCACCAGTCAGGTGTTACAAAAACTTACATCCTAATATATACCAGAGAGACACTCATCAGCTTTTAAAAGCCTATAATCCCAGTGGCTCAGGAGGCTGAGACAGGAAGATCAAAAGTTCAAAGCCAGACTCAGCAAGTCAGTGAGAACTGGTCTCCAATACATAAAAAAGGGCTGGGTACATAGCTCAGTTGATAAGAGTATTTCCCTTGTATGCACAAGGCCCTGGGTTCAATCCCTAGCACCACACACACAAAAACAAAAAACAAAAAAGGGCTGGAGTTGTGGCTCAGTGGTAAAGCACTCCTGGGTTCAATATCTACCCCCCCCCAAAGTTAACAGAAATGTATATGGAAAAGTGGGATCTAAATTATACAGGAAAATACACAAAGAAAAAAAGCAAACTGAAGAAGACCTCAATTCAATTCCTTAACACACATACCAAAAAAAAAAAAAAAAAGGCAGTAAACCACAGAATAGTTCTTATCTTTTTGTACCACCCAGAGACCAAATAATCCATTCATTACTTGCTTTAAAATATTTTATTGAAATTTTTCCAATAAAATCATGTGCTTGTAAATGAGAAAACACAAGCAAATATCCTACTTAATGGTAGGGTCCCAAAAATTTTAGCCAGTTATTTGTGCTTCATAGCTGCTCAGTTTAATACAGGAAAGATGTTATATTCATAGAAACCGTCCAACATCAGAGCATCCTTTGTGTCAACAAAATCCTGAAATTTCACAAAAGGAACACATTAGAACCATGCAGGCAACCGGCAATAAAACCATGAAGCTGGATGGGAAGTTGTCACATGGGATGGAGGGGAAGAATTAAGTAGATCTGGTAGTTTTAAGGTCATTATTACCCTCAGGGTGACAGCCAATGTGAATGACTCACCATAGTAACCAGGGAGAAAGGGTTGCTCTCCACTTGTCATGACAGCCTGAGGATGCAACAGCAGGAACCTAAGCATCCCAACAGTGTCCCATGGGGTAGATTCCAAAACCTTTTCAGTCTTCAGGTTAGCAAAGAATCTCTGGGTAGGGGCACTGCCCTTAGCTGGGCTTGCAGAACTCTCATGCTAGAAAGACAGGACAACCATAAAGAACAAGCAGGCGTTAACCAGGCGGTGCATCCCTATAATCCAGAAAACTGGAAAGCTAAGGCAGGAGGAATTCAAGGTAGGAGGCTAGCAGTAGTTTGGCAAAATCCTGTCTCAAAACAAAACAGAAAGGGGCTGGGGCTGTAGCTCAGTGGCAGACCTAACAGGTATGAGGCACTAGATTCAATCCTTAGCTCCATATAAAAATAAATAAAATAAAGGCATGCTGTCCATCTACCAAAAAAAAAAAAAAAAAAAAAAAAGCAGCCTTCTCCAGAGACCCAAGTATCCAGTTCCCTAAATGAGTCAGAACTTATTTTTGACATCAGGACCAGCATCAGAGACTCTAGTCTGTAAATTCATCATTCTCACTTAAGGAAGATCTGGATCAAGGGAAGCCATTCTGAGAGGGGATACAGTACAAAGACAACAGTCCTACTATATAAGGACTTAAGGAATGAGGAGTTGAAGAAAGAGCACAAAAGAATACAGTTGAGAATAGCTCCACTTGGAGGACCCACATGAGCTCAAGTTTACAATAGAAATATTTTAGAATAGATGTGTTAACTGTACTTAAAAATACAGAGGGGGCTGTGCATGATGGCCCATGCCTGTAATCCCAGCTGCACCAGAGGCTGAGGCAGGATCGTGGGTTCAAAGCCAGCCTCAGCAATGGCGAAGCGGTAGGCAATTTAGTGAGATCTCATGTCTAAATCAAATATATGAGAGGGATGTGGCTCAGTAGTCAAGTGCCCCTCAGTTCAATCCCTGGTACCCCTCCTCCCCCAAAAAACCCAGAGGTGATCACAAAGGAACAAGAACCACAAGAGAAATGTAAAACAAAAGTGGTCCCTGGAAAGCCACCACATGAAATATGGGCACTGTTGTACATGCTCATTAGGAAACTAACAGACGCCGACGCCAACGCCCCATGAAAGCTGGGAAACAAAAGGGTTCAGAGGCATTTGGGACTCTTGCAGTTAATACTAACCTTTATTTAAGGATTACACACCAATGGACGTCTTAAAACCCCTAAATAAGGAAGTTTAAAACAAAAAATTATAATTATTAAAAGGGTTCTTGGCCACCAACTTCCCCGAGCCCAGACATTGAGAATTCTGGCACGAGGGGTGTCAGCGCGCTGCGGTGATGGCATCAGCGACACGCTCAGAATCACCTGGAATCATCATTACCCCGTCCTCCCCCAAGGTCGACCGCCAGCGACTCCAAATCTTGCAATTATTCGTACAACCAACCCACTTACCATCGCTGCGCTGAGGACCCGTCTGCGAGGATCAGGAGCCTGTGAAGAAATCAATGAGTTAGCAAAGACCAGAGGGAATCCAGTCGAGTTCCCCCTGCCCAGGGCTGGGTCAGTTTTAAGCATTGGCGTCACGCAGACATCAGAAACTCTAGTCTGTAATGGTATTCATCCCGCTCAGCCCAAGTCTACGGTCCCCTTTTCCCAGCAAGGCCCCCGCGTACCTGCAGGCGGGTTGCTACACCAAAGGTGTGCCCTGTGCCTTCCCGACACTGAACGGCAGGTTCCGCGGAAGACGCCACGCGGACCGAAAGGACTCATACTACTACCAACCGGTCCACAGCACAAAGAGGTAGGCAAACGGAAGCCGGAGCTATTTATGCCGCGTCGGGTCGGGGGCCTAACGGGCATAGCTGTCTTCTTACATGCCTGGCTCGAAGCGCGGTAGTTTACCCATCGTTCGTCCAAAACGGAATAAAACAAAGTGAAAGAAAGGCCTTGAATGTAGGATTCCCAATCTTCGGAACAAACACGCAGGGATGGGTTACAAATTTTTACAAACAATAACAAAATGAGCAGGTGATCTGGCTGGCCAGACGGGAGAAAGTCCCTGGCCAGCAGGAGCCCCGGGAGCTAGGCGGTCTTTTTTTTTTTTTTTTTTTTTTTTTTTAATATATTTATTTTTTAGTTTTCGGCGGACACAACATCTTTGTTTGTATGTGGTGCTGAGGATTGAACCACGGCTGCACGCATGCCAGGCGAGCGCGCTACCACTTGAGCCACATCCCCAGCCCAGTCTTTTTAATTTTATAATCTTATCTTTTCTTCTTTTTTTTAAAGCACGGTATCGTTATTGTTGCCTAGGCTGTTTATACTGAACTCATGTTCCTTCTCTGCCTCAGCCTCTGGCGTACAGGTGTACGCCACCATTTCCAGCGAAACCGTCTTCAAGACGCTGAGACGCTGCCAGGACGCTCTGGACCCGTTAATGACTCTGGGACTTCTCCCGTTATAACCCTCCCCAGCTTTGGGTCGTGTCCACTCCATTCCAGGGGACTCACTCGTTCCAGCCAGCGAAATCTGAATTTGTTCAGGCACATTAAGCTGCTGCTGCTGCTGCTGCTTCTTTTTTTTTTTTTTTTTTTTTTGCTTTTAATCAACTTTATTGATATAATGGTGATTTTTAAAAAGATAATAGTCATGCAATAAACTACACGTTTAAAACTTTTTTTTTAACCATCTGTACAGTTGAGTAATTATAATATATTCACGTTATTGTGCACAGAATCTCCAGAACTTTTTTATCTTCCCAAAAGTAAAACGTTGTGCCACTCCACAATTATTCCTCATTTCCCCCTGTTATATGTGTTCGGTCTCTCCCCCCCCCCAACTTATGGTTGAACCCACAGACGCTTTACCACAGAGCCACATCCCCAGCCCTTATTTTTAAAAATTTATTATTATTATTATTTTGATACTGGGAATTGAACTCAGGGGCACTGGCCAGGGAATTTCCCCAGCCCTCTTTTGTATTTGATTTAGAGACAAAGTCTCACTGAGTCGCCTAGCACCTCGCCATTGCTGAGGCTGGCTTTGAACTTGCAATCCTCCTGCCTCAGCCATCTGAGCTACTGGGATTACTCGTATGTCTAGCTACATGTTCTTTTTATAAGCAACGTTAGAATGAGAGTACCCTGAAAGTTGGTGGAAGTGTTCAGTGCCCTCTGAATAGTGCCTTATGTTTGGAGCTGGCCTGGGGGGAGGGAGGATTGAAAGCAAACCAAATTGGGGTGAGGTGGCAAGAGCAGGGACAGTTTTCTCCCCTCCTAGTGTTTTTCTCCCTCACAAATCTTAGGGAGCCACCAAGGCAGGAGAATCACAACCAGCCCAACCTAAAATAAAAAGGGCTGGGGTTGTAGCTCAGTGGTAGAGCATCCCTTAGTTTAATCCCCAGTACCCCAAACAAAACAACAAAAATAGAAATCTTCCTTAGGTATTTGCTCTTGGTCCTTAATCCACCAACTCATAAGTGTCATTGCAAATCCCACCTCCTAAAACCCCTCATTCCTCATTTATAAATGCACATAATGTTTGGTGTGGTGTTTTGGCACCTAAATTGCCTAGGCTGGCCTTGAACTTATTTCTACCTCAGCTTTCTGAGTAGTTGAGAAATTCTCTTTTTTGGCCCAATAAACTTGCTGGCGATTTCCCTATCTTGTACTTATTGCTGTTGCTGCCAGTGAATTGCCTCTTTCAAGCCTTCAGACTCCAATTTACAGCAGAAAGCCTCTTACCAACAAGTGCTGCTGTTAAGACACCTTGCTGTACTCCCTAGTGATGCCCCTATCCTCCTAAAATAAAAATCAGGAACAGCCTCTGGTTTTCAGTGGTTTTTCTCAGCTTTGGCTACACTTCATACCTGGCCCTTTCAATTTTTTTTTTTTTTTTTTTAATTTTAAATGAAACGGAGTCTTGCTAATGGCTGAGGTTGGTGCTGAATCTGTGATTCTCCTGTCTCAGTCTCCCACATTGCTGGGATTACAGCACCATTTTTTTTTTTCTTTCTCCCCAATTTGATTCTTTTTTTTTTTTTTTTTTTTTTTTTTTGGGTACTGGGGATTGAACTCAGGGGCACTCAACCACTGAACCACATTCCCAAGCCTATCTTGTATTTTATTTAGAGACAGGGTCTCTCACTGAATTGCTTAGCACCTAGCCATTGATTAGGCTGGCTTTGAACTCATGATCCTCCTACCTCAGCCTTCCCAACCACTGGGATTACAGGGCTGCAGCACTGTGTTGGGCTCATTCTATTTTTTAAAAATATTTTATTAGTTGTTGGTGGTCTTTTATTTATTTTTATGTGGTGCTGAGAATCGAACCCAGTGTCTCACAGGTGCTAGGCAAGCGCTTTACCACTGAGTCACAACCTCAGGCCCTCATTCTATTTTTATGATGCTAGGAATTGATTGCAGGGCATTGTACATGCCAGACAAGCCTCTACCATTAAGCTATATCCTAAGCCCCCAAATGATTTTCTTATACCACTAGAGTGGAGAACGATTGTTCTAACGGCTTGAAGATAAAGGATTTTTTCCCTCTAGTGCCTGTTAAAAAAAAGGGGGAGGGTGGGTAGAAAGCCCCAATTCCAGCTGCTACAATAGTGACACTGCATTTCCCATATGCTGAGTCAACGGTTATTATTATTATAGCCCACCTTTCTCACAAGCAAAACAAGCCTTTGAGAACTGGTCCGGGGCTGGGGATGTAACGTAGTTGGTAAAGTGCTTCCTTCATACTCACAAGGCCTTAGGTTCAATCCCCAGCACCATACACACACACACACAAAAATTGATCCAGAAACCAAACTGTTTTCCTTTTCATTGAGCTTCCAAGAAAGCATTCTATATTGATATTTTTAGAACAGTTTATTTTCCCACAGGGTAAGGACTGTATGAAAGGTTTACCATGGAATGCCAGTCTGTTGCTGGATGCAGTGGTATACAACTGTAATTCAGTGACTTGAAAGGCTGAGACAGGAGGATCCCAAGTTCAAAACTAGCCTCCATAACTTAGGGAGGCCCAAAATAACTTAGTGACACCCTGTCTCCAGAAAAAAAAAAAATACTGGTGATGTGGCTCAATGGTTAAGCACCCCCTAGTTCAATCCCCCCCACACCAAAAAAAAAAAAAAAGTAATGCAAATCTTGCTAATCTGTTCAATTCCAAGCTGCCAGTTTGAGGATGATGATTCTCAAGATTAAAGGAGGTTAAGGACACCTAACTGCTACAGCAGGAAGAATCCTAAGGGAAGAGAATGAGGATGAGGAAAGCCCACTATCAACTTGATTATTCCCAGCTCTACGCTGTGCAGCATTTAAAAATATATATATCTTTACTTGTAGATGGACAAAGTATCTTTATTTTTACGTAAAGCTGACACTCAAACTAGGCAAGTGCTCTATTACTGAGCTACAAAGCCCCCTGTGCACCATTTTTCTTCATCTCTTTCGTCATAATTAAATCTATTTTACACTGCTATTGCTCAAGACTACTGATTGTGATGAGCTGAGGTTGTGGCTCAGTGGTAGAGTGCTTGCCTAGCATGTGTGAGGCACTGGGTTTGATCCCAGGCACCAGATTTAAAAAAACAAAGAAAAAAAAAAAAAGACTACCGATTACTAAATCTGGGGGTTAAACCATCACCAAAAAGGAATATTATGCAAGGAGATCCAGGAAGTGTGTGTGTGGGGGGGAATTTTAGTTCTAAAACCATCACCTATTACTCTCTGATCATGGCCTAGATTCAGCTGAAGTGACTAGCTCCATATACTAAACTGTGAAAAAATAACTTTAAAATACCTAATGTAGAACTTTGGGGCTGTGGCTGGGCGGTAGAGTGCTCATCTAGCATGTGAGAGGCCCTGGGTTCGATCCTCAGTACCACATAAAATAAATAAACAAAACAAGGGTATTGTGTTCAACTCCAGCTAAAAAATACATATTAAAAAAAAAAAAAAAACTAATGTAGACAGTGGTGGTAGGAAGACCAGAGGGTGAAAAGGATCTAGGTATGGTGTATATTATCTCTCTCCTCCATAATCCAAATTGATTAATTTGGATCTAGGGTGATCATGGCTGAAAATGTTGTTTGTCTATTTGCATTTCTGTGCAAAATGATGTTAGAACTTTGAAGTGAGGCCATTTATACAAAATAGTTCAGGAGGAAGCTACCAATGCTAACAATCTACAGAAATGGTGCTTGGTTATCCAGTTGGGATTTCAGAGCCAGAGTTGAACTTCCAACTCATTGTTGATATTTGTCCACAGCTGTCACCTACATCAAAGTCTGGATAGCAGGTAAGACAGCAATGAAATGTGAAGCTTTGGATTTAGAATAAGCACAGATGAGCCCCTTTGGACAGTGCCTTTCTCCATTTCCAGTTCTTAACCCATACCAACCTTTCATCCCACAAAACCCTATTTACCCATAAAATAAATCACACTTGCATGGAAATGAGTACCTGACAATTTTTTTTCTCCCCATATATAAATTCTAACAAAAGTGTCCAGAATCATGACTCCTATGTGTCCCTCTCCTTCAGTACTGCTGTCCTGGTCTTCACGTATCTATAGAATTCACACATATGAAGAATGCATTTTTTCCTCCACAAATACAAATAGACAAGCACAGTTCTAAATATTTTATTTTTCATCCTTTAGTTATTAAAAAAAAAATTTCCCTGATCTTGTAGCGTTGCAAAGCAAAAACTGTAACACAGGGTGGCAGTGTTGATATGAAGACAAGAAAAAAGAGGAAAAACATCCTCACAGTGTTAACTTACATTAAACCTAAAGGACACATGGCTTACACCACAAAA